AAAACGCTGTTGTGAATTTCGCAATCTCCATATATCTTTGAAAGACCAATGATAAACATTCAGTTTATTGGAATGTATTCGATAAATACTTGAAGAAATGCAAAGTTGGATATAGCTGTCCGTGATATTTGAGTACTGTTAAGCCTTGTGGCTCAAATTGTTGGCTACATGAAATCCATGAATTTTAGAAATTGCTATATCTGACATCTGGTTAGGTTAGGAAACCTCAGGCAACCGCTGCAAAAAAATTTTTAAGACTTTATCCACCGATCTACCATAAGTGAAGGCTGCATATTTTAAATATAAGAGATGCCTTAAGCATTATGCTAACGTGGGATACACTCATGAGTATTATTTCTGTAATATTTATGATCAGCTTTTTCTAATGATTGTCACAAATACACAACATATCCACAATATTTACTGCGGAGTTTTACATCTAGACTACTGCAATGGAAATTTCGTTAATTAAGTTCCTTTGACCTAAATTGAATCACTTGAACTATATGGGCTAAAGTTTAGAAATTTTACCCTTACATAACATAACACCTTTTGATGGGGCGTGTTTGATTAGTTTCTGCAAATTGAAATAATTCATATCGATATAGTGATCTTGCCACACGTTTCGTGAAATTTGGATTGAATTCTTATTCGCGATAAATAAACATCGATTGATTCAGGACCAGCGTAGGCATTTTGCAGTTATTTATTTTCTATCTTCATCATTCGTGTTTTGTTCCAAAACATCTGGATAGTGGTCAACGAAATAATTTACAAGCACTCTGTAAAATAATGGTGGGTTGTGTAAATTAGAATGAAATTCTGCCCGCTATAAGCATTTGGTCAAGAGTTCATAAAAAGTTATACAAGATTCGTTTTTCAGGATACTGCCCCTGTTTCAAGAGACAAGCTATAAAGTTAGCAAATCCATAATCGATATTTTCCGTAGTTTATTTCACGTTAGATGCGACATACTCACTCTTGCTCTCTTGCAATTTTTCTAGACACAGGATGTCTTTTATCAATGACACGAATATAAATATACATGCTATGTGACCTCTGTGCGACCGCTTCCGCATATGTATACCAAACAATTTCTTTACTATTTTCATTTAGCCATTAGCAACGGCAAACATTCGCTCGGAATATTTGCCAACTTTGAAAAAAGAACTTTGTGGGCGAAATCTTTTACAATTTATACACAAAAATTCGGTTTAGCACTCATTTTTACCGTCTTCATATCAATTTTCAGGTCAATAAAGTGTAAATTAACAGAACCATGAAGGAGTCCCATGCCCATTTAACGAGGATGTCAGCCTGAGCTGAAGACAGTCGGTTAGAACTGGCTTGTATACAATGTTGTAGAATTTGTCGAACTGAAAAATAACCTTCTTAATGCTTTCTAACACCCTGAGTTGCACCTGTTTGAAGTAGCTCCTGCACTCACATTTTTGTAAATTAAATGTAATCTACTGCAGTAAAGGTGGACGTAATCAAGACAGCATAGGGTATTCGCACTGCATGTGGCCAATAAGTACAATGTAACCTCAAGTAGTCCTTTAGATATTTCCTGCTAATGTTATAAACTAGAACTTGGTGTGGTCATCCCACAAATAAGTTTGTTGTTAATTTTCAAAGGACCACGAGAACTATTCATCCGAACGAATTTTGGCGTGTGTTTTTACGTCTTTTTATCGTCGCTGCATTCAACCACACCTGAGGTCTTCTCACATAACCATGTCCTGCTTGAATTCGGTGCTGCCATTTGACAGGAAGCTCGAAAATCTTGGTAGACTTTGGTTGTGGTTTTCTATTCTATTCCATGATTTGGTAAATTTTTTCATGGGTGAAAGCTCACGAAGCACGTTCAATCGATTATCTGGCCCACAATTATGGAACATGCAGAAACCCATACACTCTATCACGAAAGCTAATTGAGTAAAGCATAAAGAAGCAGGAATGTAGCAGTGACTGGAAGTAGGATTGGTTCAGAGAAAAAGCAGTTCCGATACCATGTATTGCAAATATCTTTATTTATCCTGGAATAGTCGAAAAATCGTTTTCCCTTATCCGGTTACCACAAATGTGCACTCAACGTTTACAGCGAATTTGAAAATATGAAAGTGGGTACTTTAAAATTTCAGGTAGATATTTAATATCATGCATCAAACTCGCACAAATCCATAATATAAACCAGAAACGGGGAGAACTTCAAAAGACCAAACCATCAGCTTAATTTACGGCACTTATGAAATTGAAGCAGACTAAATATTCAATACTCATGAATGGATAAAAAGTAATCAGCGGTTATTTAAACTCATCAACGTCTTCTCTACGCTGTATTGCAGGTTACGACAACGACCATGGCGGTCAGGCATTTTGAATCAATCTGAATACCTATTGCTGCAGGCCTAAGGAGGCAGCCAATGAAAGGCGGATAAACCAGTTCTACGGTGTGGATGCCCGTTGTGTGTGGACTGTGGAACGTGCGACGAGACGACGTCGATTGACGTAATACGCCATTCGATATTCTATGTATTTCACTACAACGTACCAGTACAAAAATCGAAATACTGCGTGTAGGCAACCTCGAAATTTAAACATAGCAGGAGTAACGTCTGATTGGATATCACTTTAACCCCACATCAGAGGTCAAACCACATTGCGTCCGTTTGAGATACAATTTCTCTACCTGTAATCATTAGAAGTTCACACCCTTAAGCCAAAGAACGCTAAAACAAGTCAGTGAAGAGTCTTGTGATTTCGCACAAGAAGAATTATCCCCATGTGCAATGACGACATTGGTTGATTTACTTCTTCGGCGCTGATTGGTTCGTATTTGTTTTGATCAAAGTTCAGTAACCCGATTCTTTGAATGACGTTGGACCTGCTGTGACTTAAGTAATGCAAATACAAGTCTTCTGGAAAAGTAGAATGGAGCAAAATTAACAAAACACGATTTCGCATTACCAACATGTCATATTTCATGCGCGAGCCTTGTCAAGTTTTACGAAGGCTCTACATTATTTCAGCATTTTCCCTGCTATGGACGACTGGTTCCGGTGCCGAAATGCGCAAATTTACAGCTTAGCAAGACAACCGCAGTTCAAGCACTGTGGGACAAGCAATGCAGTTAAAGCAAATTCGAACATAAAAGCCTCTGCAGTCTTTATTTCTTTGTGCAGAATGTTTACAAGCACTTCGATGCCCCGATAACGAGATTACGTATTTCGGGTTGTCAATGAGCACCTTAGCACTAGATCCCTCCTTAAACTTTTCACAAATTAATACAACAGGCCAGCACTAAGAATTTGTGCAATTCACAATCGATTACTCAAAGTATGAACAAGGATGGGGGGGTTGAAGAAAATAGACAAAATATTTTCCTTCGTCATAAAACCAAAATACCTTCAAAAAATTGAAATACAAGGAAAAAAAGGGGGGATATGCATGCGGTGCTCTGCGTCCAATAGACAACAGAGTGTGATTAATCGCGTACATTAACGCGCACAACCAATACCAATTGGTATGCGAAATAGACCAGTTATAAGAGGAAATTAGCATATCACTGTTATTATAAGAGAACACTAAGCTCTTTGAGGTAAGCTGAGAATATCTTCGTCATTCAATGCAGGGTTATCACAGCCTGATTGGTAGAGAATTTCAACTTCCATATTCTAAAACAAATGTGTAGGTATTAGTAGGACTTATAAATGCACAAGCCATGAGGTTAGCGGGTGAGTTGCCAAAAACCGGACAGACAGTTGCTTTCTATTCCTGAAAGTGCGAAACGCTACGCGTTATAGCTATAGCTCTGTTGTTCTAGCTGGAATCTGAGTTAAGGCAACATTAGAAGCGGCTTTCATGCGGAAGGGGTTAGATAAGGTAGAAAAATTTCTCATATTACATTGACAAGTTTCTTATCATCAGCCGTTACAGAGGCACAGGTTTCCAAAGCGATAGCTTCCTGTGGAGGTTTCTAGTAGAGAGAATTTGAATACCACAAATGAATTTGATAGGTTAAGTAAGCAGTTCAATTTGCTAAAGACGTCTAGACCTAAATTAAAGACTTCACAGTAAATGCGGAAAGTGACACTAAAAAATGTCTAGCCGATTGCAATGAGTGTCTAATGTTACATCGAAGTTTAATGAAAACGGCCAATAAAAGTTCGAGAATAATTGTAAGACAAAATTCATCTGCATAAGGCAATACAGCAGTCAAAAAGGAAACATTTACGTGAATTATGGAACTGATTATAAAAAAATTGGAGGACTTACGTGGCGGCGGCAGTGTGGATCCCGTCGAATAGCAAAATAAGCCTTTAAACACAATAAAATTGGTTTTACAAACGATCAACTGAAAGGTGAGGAAACTATCACCACAATATGTGATTTCTTAAAATAACGACCATTAATTAATATAGATCATAATGTAGCATATTTTGGGGCACAAATGCCACATCCCGAGCAAGCACAATTACACAAACACAACTACTAGAAGGCAAGAGGTATTAGTGTGGCCAGATCTTAAAGCAAACCATTACAAGACAGCAGACCTACACTCAAAAAACATCCTATTAAACCGATTTCGGGAGGGATCAGTTTTACCAAAGCGGTTGCTGTGAGATTGAGCATGCTGAGTGGGTACTCACCAAGTAGAATATGAAGGAGACGTAGAGCGTGAAGATGATGGCCACGCTGATGTGGGCGACGAGATGATTAACCAATCGCGCCTTGAAGAAGATCGCAACAAAGAAGAAATTGACACCGATGACCATCAGTGAGATCACCATCGATATCACTTTTGAAGGTCTGTAAGTATGCACAAATAACAGCATAGGACAGAGGAATGCCTTTACAAAACATAGCATTCTGTTGAGGGTTGCGTGTTACTACGCAACTAAAGGGAAGACCTACGGGGCAAGGCCGTGACATTGAAGGCGTACAAGATCAGGTAACAAACCAAGCAGTGCTTCAAGCCAATTTGAGCCGCGACCGGCGCCAACGCATGAAATCAAGAGGAGCAATTCTGGAAACACAATCAGCGGCTTTAACGCTCTATATTCAATATTTTCTCTGAGGAACATCTTTACATGTGTTATAAAAATATTGAGACTATTTTAAGGTCTCGACTCCGTTTTGTAAATCTATCATAACGAAATCGTATAAGTTCAGAGAACAAAATAACATTTACAGCCCGGCGGAATAATGAAAACTTTAAGGACCACGTTTACACGGCGATAACCAACGTGGGTGTTTCGTTGTGGTGATAAAGTGCTACAGTTTCGGTGGGAAGGTTTAAAATCAACAGTTCCACGTCAAATAAAAGACAACCCGAATCGGTAAGCACTTTAATTACACCTCGTGAGTCTTTCAGTTGATTGAGAGGTGAGTTTGCATAGATGTGAACTGAAAAGTTCACTAGGTCCAGCATCTTTTTGGATATAATCTCCTCTATCACCGAAATATCTTCGGCACAATAGAACGAGTAATTTGTTTTACACACAAACTCTATTGTTGATATATGACTGGAATAGATCGTGTGTAATAACATTAGAAACGTTAAAAACATTTATTATTTCCTTCATCTCTAAAATGCTTCCTATGGTTTGTTCCTTATTAGGTAGATCCACACTATGAAAGACACCTAACTTGTTCGCTATGAAGATATACAAACGAATCCTTAACTGATCTACAACAGGACCATATGCAAAATCAGCATGTAATCGCCAGATACAATACATTTCACGACTAAGGTTCCACATTCACAGAAGCCTAACAAGCACCTATGAAAAGTGAGCAATAAATAGATTTACCATGGCTTACAATAGAGTTGAGGTGTCAAAAGAATTTTTTTTAGAAAAAAGCAAACCGGAATGATCGTTGCCACAATAATCCATTGCATGTTTAGGTTTTGAGAAGGAATAAAATATCACCTTATGAAACCTATTATTCGAAATAGGCATCCATCCAGAGGCGAATGGTCTCAATGGTAAAGTTTTCCCGAAAAGGCCTGCAAGGTATCCTAAGATAATATTTTGCCTCGGTGTTGACTAAATTATTGACACGACCTGTGATTTTTAGTGGATAACGTAAATAGATATTGGAATTAGATACAGAAACAACAAACAAGTGTCAAGTGACGACTAAAATCAGTAATACAATGGTGTGCTTTGCGAGTACACTTCAACTCAACGTCTGGCAAAGTGCATCAAAGAAATTTTTGGCAGTTCCAAAACAAAGCAACCAATACCTTGCACAAATTCGGATGTCAAAATGACATAAGGACGTAGAAACTCTCTCCTGGCGAATAAAAACTAATCCGGCACCTAATACAGCGTACAGCAAAAGCATTTTCAATACCAAGAATGGAAAACTAGATAAAAATAGGTTCTTATTGACAATACAGAAATATACAATAGCTGAAACAGAAAACAAAGTTAAGTAAATGCATACCATCGTAGTGTTGCATCGAGTGAAAAACTTTATGGCATCAGGAAGAAACATCTTGGCAAAATTTGACGTAATACACTGTTGAATACAAGCCGATGCAATCGGTATTAACAATGCAAATAAACGAAGAAAATGCGTCTCGTGTAACATAAAAAAGACGCGTTATTGAACTCACATAGAATTGGCAAACATCCCCATGATTGGCTTTGAATTTGTAAAAGTGAGCAGAGGAATAACGGCGAAAGGAAGTTGAACACTCATCAAAACATTAAGCAGATCATTCATTTCTGTGAGGTTCTCGATGCCTACAAGAAATAAACAAAAGGCTACAGAAGCGCGTGACGAAAGGCATCTCTAGCATTCCAAGAGCAACTTGACCTGTTTAAAAGGGAAGCCTGGTTTTACTCTACGTGCACTGCCACCACTAATTTCCAGACTACACCATAACTTTTATCTCCTACACTGACAAATACGTGAAGGAGTGAAAGCTGCATCAGGTTACGTGTGCAGCAACATGAGTTGGTCTCTGTCTACTTTGGCGACAGTTCACTGAATCAGACACAGGTGGCGGCGTATTTTATCGGAAAGAGCACGGCGCCACATACCCGAACACACCCCTCCCAGTTTAGTTTTGAAGAATTTAAGTACATACTGGAGGGTCTAAAGCGTGTGTGCTAAATGGCACAATGACTTCATCAATGATATGCTGGAAAGCATTCTACGCAAATTCATACGTGACGTAAGACATTTCACGGCTCGAATTGATTAATTTTCACCGGGGCTTATTAAATTTGGTAGCTTGAAAAACATGCGGGCTTCAACGGTAAAAGTTGACGAGACAACTCTTAGAAAAGCTGTATTTATCATTGAAATTATACTAGAATATGAAGACGGCAAAGAGTGGTCCACAAGCACACTACGTATGTAGATGTAGTGAAAGTATGTTTGGATAAATAATTACATTGGAAGAAATTACGGCAGGAAAAAGGTGATGATTACAGGTGCATCTTAGTTTGTGTAAAACGAAAACTAGCGTGGTTTGTGTATGTGTGTGTTTGTAGGTGTAACGTTGCGATGGCATTGTGGACACATGGTAGGCTTAGGCTCAAAAGTAAGCACCAATCATGCAAAAGTAAATCTACTAATTCAAAGAGCCTTTTTCAACTAACGTTAGCAGAATTAATCAAACAAAGTCTTTTCCGGTACTAAGCAAAGAATTCATAAATAAAAATGGTGCAGGATGAGAGAAGCAATGTACATGAATGATGTCTTCGGACAAAAACATGGCAACGCAAAAGTCCCTATGGGCATGGTCATAAGCTCTGGTTTCTGAGATCAATTCAAACTGACGCATTAGAACAAGTTATGGGTTTTCATAGCATCACTAAATATCCCGCATTTGGTTTTTCAAGAAATGCGAAATCCCATCTATCGGGACCTTTGGCTCCTAAACACTAACAAGGTGAATTTGAAGTAGCTTTTCTGTAGCAATAACCATGGGCACTCAGATACAAAGTGGCATGGCATCAAGAATGGAAACAAAAAACGCCTAAAATCCTGTTATTGTGTATTTGATTGGATTTAAAAGGCATATATTTACCTTCGAAAAACGTAACAAGCAATGTTGGCAGGATGGCAATGGATCGGGTGACGAGAAGGCGCTGCCACTGCTTCCAGCGGAGATTCAGAAAGCCCTCCATGGCATACTGACCGGCGTAGGTGCCTGTCATCGTGGATGACTGGCCAGCGGCCAGAAGACCAACCGCCCAGACGTAGAGGGCAGCAACGCCGAATTCACAACCGAGAAAAACACCCTGAATCGAGCAAGGGGAAACAACTACCATGCCACCTCGCATCCAAACAAAGCAGTATGAAATCACACTCGAAAAGTCGTCACATAGTACTTTAGGGTCAAAATTTGGACCCAAAACAGAATGCTTTTAATTGTGACGTTCTCATTAATATGTCTTATGCTACAATACCAACTGGAGTAAGAACTATGCAATAAATGAGGGCTCAGCCACCCAGAATTGTGCGTTTCAACAAGAGTCACTGCACCGTGGAGGCATGAGTTGAGGGAAACCCAATGACTAGCCAGAGAAATTTAATGAAAAAAACAAGGTCAAACATCGATAATGGCTCAAACTGAGTTATGAGTCAGATTTATTACATAAATTTTAAATAATACTGCGACTAATAGTGTAGTAAACCAGTTGAAAAACGTTCACGTGAGGAGGTCCGCATGTTTCGCATAGAAGGTAGCCTTTAAAATGGGTTTGATCCCAGACTACGCGATCATAAACAATTGTGAACTAAGACGTCAGAATAAGTAAACGATTATATTAGAAAAGATAACTGAAAAAGCTGAAACAGTTCGACTACACAGAGATTATTTCCGGAGTCCAACTAAAGTAAGGAATATCCGCGAACTCGATTTAGGCCTTAGTGCATTGCAAAACTGCCGAGACAGGCTAGTTAAATAAAAAAAGCTGGAAAACCTACCAAATTCGGCGTGGCTACTATTGCAAAATCTTTATCTGCGAAAATAACCTAAGCTTGTTTGTTTAAGCATAAAATGGGGGTGATAGCGAAACAAAGTTATTGGAGGAGGATCGAACGTCTCAGTTACAATTACTCATTTTTCAACAACCACATAGTCGAAGTGGCTGCAGCAACTTGCGGATTGGCGTGGTCATACCTTACGAAAATAACTTGAGAGTTAACGTGGTCCCACAGTTTTCACATTACGTAGACCGAAATATACCAACCACGAGCTTTGATAGAAACAAAAGGAAAACTCACCCCCACATAGAGGTCAACCTGCGTTGGGTCAAATTTTCTTGCGGTTTCAAGGAATGCCTCAGGAATGGCTTGTCTTGTAGAACAATTCCTGATCTGAAACGTTAGGAGGATGTATCGTTTAAAACGTCAGTAAAAAATTAAAGCCTTGACCACGGTGTTTACAAGGCTGAGAATTTCAACGTGCGAGCAGCGTCCAACATTTTCCACGACCCCGCGAATTCGATTCCCTTTTCGGGCTGACACTTTTCATGAGGAACTTTACTGTCTTAAAAAAACTACCCAGATACTCGTTTAATAAAGCTGAATATAAGGTTGTTAGCTACGTGCGTCACGCCGAATAAGTTCATTTACAAAGGAAACATTTAGTCATAGACGATGGAAACCACAAAAATTGATAAGGCATGCCTGCTCAATGAGGTCGTTTAAAATGTTACTCAACAGGCAACTAGCGCATGCACAACAATCTAGGCCCTCGCCAAACACCCAAACCCTGTGTGGCTGATATTCGATGTCAACAATGTTGTTGTTGCTGTTGGCGGTAGAGGAGGGGGTGAAGCTAATGCCTAAGTCATATAAAGAAAAAACTCACGACTTCGGTAACGTTTTTCCCATAAAATCCCTCACTGAACACGGAAACCACGAACACGTTGATAATGAGAGAAACACCCAGCGCGGCGCAAGCCTCCAAAAAGAAGTAGAAATTGGCGATCGCTATCTATTAGGAAAAAAAAACATGCTTTAATAATTTGTCGTAGGTGAGATTTTGAGTTACAAAAACCGAACAGTCTCAAGTCTTACAGATGCAAAAGCACTTCAGTATGGCCGTGTTGACGAAATCGCAACAAGATGATTTATGGAAGTTGGCGACACAGAAACTACACAGCCATTTAAGAAAAACCGCAATGTGACCAACATGTTTTCTGGAGAGACCATTGGGCAATGAGAGCAAAGCGAATTAGTTATAAAAACCGAAATTCGCCAGCGTTTACTTAATCACAACTCGTGGGAAGTTCCATGGGGAGAAAGTGCTAGTGTGAGGACGCACACTAAGTACCAGTGAGATATGGCTATTATCAAATATCACCTTCGAGTCAAAAACATCGTTATTCGCATCAAGTGTGCTTGACAGCGCTAGCAGATTAAAATCCACGAAACTCACTGCTGCTCCTGGGCAACCCAGAGACCAATGCTCAGATAACACACAGAGAGTAGAAACATCGCAACTTGTGTATTGTGTTAATTAACTTGAATCACACTTAGAAAAAACTACTCCATAAGCTGTTAGTTGAATGTCTTATTCCTAAGATTAGATAATTCATACTTGACCTAACAGTGACCCCGCGTCGTACACAATCAATACGCCAATCACAATGCGTAACACGTCAGTATATGGAAACCCTACTTTCTGGGGCTAAGAATACAAGGAGCGTCATAAATTAAAATGGCACCTCAATTTCCACTGCTGGAATAGTTGACACTTAAAGTGAACACAATGATACACGCACACATACAAAAATCCGTGCCCCACTTGAAACCAAATTAATGAACACCACATTCTCATGAAACATACTCATTTTAAACCAACGATGAAGTCTTCATTTCCCATAACCGTCTCACTTTCAACAATTTACTGGATTCGTTCTCTGTACAAACTGCATGGATTCACTTCAAAGAAAGTCCGAAGCTACTTTCCCATTCTCAGTTCTCCAGACCCGTATCTTTCGCCATTAAAATCATTTCGCAGAGCGCGTGTGTTGTGTTGAATCTCGACACAGTTAGACAGCTATCATTTAATTTTATGATCATAAAATACAGTACAATAAAAACCGCATGCTCCTGCCATCTATGAAAATCAACCAAACTTCTCTTGCCATGCAGCAATGAACATTAGGTTTTAAAATAATTTGCAACTATGTCAAATACAAGTTCGACATGAACTGTACAAGTAATTATCAACAATGTGTTTGGGTTGCAACCTACTGATCTCTTGTCTTTGCGGTTGATCTCACGCGACTTCACCAATGCAGAATGGAGGTAGAAATTATGCGGCATAATTATGGCTCCAATTATGCCAACGGCCTGCTCAAGTTCTGGCCACCCACAATTGGGACAAGAAGGCACAAAGAATCCGCGGAGGACTTTCAATTGGTCCGGTGCAACCACAACATACTGAAAAAATGAATCGCTTGGAGTAAAAAAAGCACATGCATAGACGGCTCCGTCAACCGCCAATGGAATAAAAAATTCAATAAAGTACGACAGATATTGTTATTACCAAATTATCGAAGCCGGTAACAACCAGGAGAAAAAACTTGACTGCACCACCACATAACTAGAACGATGCTATTGCTAAAGATAATTTTGGGCAACAAATATAGATTAAGTATGATGAAAATATGCAGCAAAATTGTAACACCAAATAATTTTAGGTTGCTGGCAAATATAAATGAAGACAATTAACACTTCTAGATCGGGATTTTAGGGTGGGAATAAAGATGAAAAATAAAAACCAAAAGTGAACCAACTTAAAGGCTGCTGTGGAATGATGAGGTTGAGACCATACAATAGTTAAATATCAGCACTATTTTCTTTTAACAAATAACGCGCACAAACGCGAGCCTACCTCGTATCCAAACGTTACGGCCATGACAGAAATGAGGAAGCCAAAAAATAATTCCAATTTGCGAAGGCCATAATTGTCGATGAGAAGAAAGGTTAGGGTGTCTCCGATGGTAATCAGAACACCACCCCATAACGGGATTTTGCCCATACTAAGAAGATTAATAGCGATCGCTGTGCCGATGACTTCCTAAAAAAGTGTGATGTTATTAAACGGTAAAAGAAATGAGCAGCCAAACGAACACACAGACCTGCATGTCCGACCCAATTATGGCAATTTCGACCATAATCCAGAGAATGATTCTGACGGGTCTGGGGTACTCCTCGTAGCAAATTTCAGCAAGATGTTTGCCTGTTACAACTCCCAGGCGAGCCGCCAACCGTTGCATAAAAAGACCCATCAAAGTCGCCAGAAAAAGAAGCCACAGAAGCTACAGGTTTCATCAATGTATTAAATGGTCGAAAATAACTATCATATATGCCAGTAAAACTCACGCGATAGTTTGCAACAGCTCCACTTTGCAAGTCCGACTCAATATTACCAGGGTCTAAGTAAGCTATGCTCATCAGAAACCCAGGTCCGGTAAAGGCCCAAAGGGTGCGGAAGCTAAAAGTACGCCAAACCTGAAAAACAACGGCAACATATTAAATATTGTAACATTAGATTATGTTTAAAGGTCTCAAACATACGCTTTCAGGTGCGTCCTCACCAGATCGTCTAGAACGACCTGGCAATGAAACATGTATTCGATCTGGAACGTCGGGGCGATCTGTTATATCCATGTTGACAGCGTTTTCATCAGTTTCTTCGAAAAGAAGAGGATGCCGATCATCAACAGCTACGGATAAAATTAACGGATATGCTTACTTTGGATACTAAAAGCCAAGACCATAGCCGACCATCGGCTAGTTTAATTAAGACACAACTGCAGCTGTGGTGTGGTGTGGCGTCGGATTAGGGCGCAGACATGTTGGACCACCTGCCTCAGCCAATCCCGTGTCTCTCTGCGATCAAATGGCATGCTGGAAAGTAAAGCAGCCAACCAGAGAGGGACATGGATGAGATGCAGTATATGAGCGGCGTGGCCAGCGTGGTGGACTCGGATGGAAGGCGCCTGACGTGTGGCTCTGGCTTCTGATTGGTCAATAAAGCCTGTTCTGTTGTACCGGTCTTTTACCTATTTGGGCTCGGGTATTCTACAGTGGCGTCTAAATTTATCGCAGACATATTGAACCACCTGACCTCAGCCAATCCTGTGTCTCTCTGCGTTCCAATGGCATGCGAGGAAGATAAGCAGCCAACCAGAGAAGGACACGACTGAGGGGCAGTATATAATGAGCGGCGTGGCCATCGTGGTGGACTCGGATGGAAGGCGCCTGACGCGTGGCTGTTGCTTCGGATTGGTCAAAAAAGACTGTTTTGTTGTACCGGTCTTTTTCCTATTAAGGATCGGGAATTCTGCATCAGTAGCAGCGGATGCGTTCGAATAACGCGAATCGAACCCCAGCCCTTTCTCTTCAGTGGTCAACACAGGCAAAGACCCTTGAATGCCAGCTGAAATTGTCATGGCGGTCATCCGATGTCCCATACACTGGAATCCATAGACATTGCCCGGGATTAGGACTACTGCATCTGAAGAGGCATTGGCAACTCAGCGACGACGACTTGGACAGTGAAAGCCAACTTGACTGCATTTGCGAATGGACCTTCGATGGATGATGAGTCCTTCCTGCAAGTCTACAAGAACAAAGTCCCTCGTCAACTATTCGCATGTGCCACTAACCAGCCAGATGCGGGGTGCAGGAAGTGTCGAATTGGATATTTTACCACTCATGAACAGTGCAATGAACCACGCCAGAATCTGAGGACAGCTTCACTCCTGAGGGAGAGGCAGTGTGGCGTCGGATTAGGGCGCAGATATATTGGACCACCTGGCCTCAGCCAATCCTGTGTCCCTCTGCATTCCAATGGCATGCGAGGAAGATAAGCAGCCAACCAGAGTAGGACACGACTGAGGAGCAGTACATAAGGAGCGGCGTGGCCAGTGTCGGGGACTCGGATGGAAGGCACCTGACGCGTGGCTGTGGCTTCGAATTGGTCAATAAAGCCTGTTTTGTTGTACCGGTCTTTTACTTATCAGGGCTCGGGTATTCTACACAGCGGCGCTTAAGGGCGCAGACATATAGGACCAGGCCGGCATCAGCCAATCCTCCGTCTCTCTGCATCCCAATACCATGTGAGGATGACGTGCAACCAACCACATACAGACACACGTATGAAGCGGTTTATAATGAGAGGTGTAGAAAACGTGGTGGACTCGAATGGACAGCGTCGGTTTGCGGTTTCGGCTTTTGATTAGTCAATGAAATCTGTTCCGTTGTAACAATCTTTTTTATACTAGGTCTTAGGTATTCTACGCACCCAAGCGACCAAAGAGTGGGCCAATAAATCTAAGGTCATGACTAAAACTACGCAGAGCGATGTACAGTGAAAGGGGGGTGTACCACAATGTGCTATCGTCACAGATATTAAGAAAAGGTACAAGGTTTATCCAATTAATGATGAGCACAATATCTACTAAAAATTTTAAAATCAAAGGTCAAGGGTTCATCAGGACGATGATGGTTGTGTTAGTCCACTGACATTCCTCCCATTATCGTGTAAGAACCGGAAATTCGTTACTGAAATTTGATATAAGTAACTAATTTTAAGTTGGTTTTCAAGCTGGTAAGGCCTGCAAGCTTGCTTACAATAAATTCAAATGTGCAGTACATGCCGCTGCTTAAAAAACCAGATAAGTAATCTGTATGCAATCCAAGATGAGAATCAGTAGTCTTTCATTTCAAGTTCTAGAAATTAATATTTTTGCTCTTTTTTTACTTAAATTGGTGCGAAAATGAAATATATGTTATTGCTATCGTTTACTCAAAACATTAGCTTTGTAGAACCAGTGGTATAACAAAAGCGAAAATCTTTCATCAGCAATGTTATCCAAGTTAAGGGATGAATTCTTAGGATGTTGACGCATTAGATAAATGTCGGTCTGTAGTATTGTGCGTTTACTCTTCATCGCATAAGCAAAAACATTAAGCTATCCACGAAACTCGTCAGAAAATATTCACTTTATTTTGAGATGTGTTAAGTTTGGAAAAAATACTTTAGAGCCAGGGTTTAGTAAAACGGCTCCATCACAACAAATTTAATGAATGCTTAAAAATTATTTGTACTCGACCACACACATATTAAAATCTACTTAAACCTTAAAGAGTCGAGATCTTGTTGCTGTAAACCTTTCCACTCTGGTTAGTTTCATTGTTTATACTGGGTTGTCCCTACATGTATACATAATCCCTAACACTACTCGAAGTTAAAACACCGATGACATTTTCACGTTAGTGTATACTTCATTAAACTAGAAGAATGACCAACCAACACTAAACGTGGATTGATTAGTGAGCTCAAAAACTGATGCAAATCAGTCATCATTCCCCTATTTGTTATTTTCAAAGCAATCGTTTTGTAAATTGATGCAACAATAAAGCCTCGGTAGGGAAATACAAATACATTTTCACGTTCATATTGGCTTCAAAATTCTAAAAATTGATAAAATCCTACAAACTGCGACAATGGAAAATATGTATCCCCATTCATATAAGATTATTATAACTTGACATCTTGCAACAGCATATACGTGTGCACAAACTGCAGACTTAATTGGTGTATTCATACGAAAAACCACATTAAGTAACTTCAAAATTGCGCATAAATCCCAACTTTTGTTTTCATATTAGCGTAAAAATGTCAAGGTTTATGTTTGCAAAAATCGATTTAGATCATTAGTTATTAAAACGTAGCACATGCATTGAGACAATACTTTCTTGCGCATATCTGAGTAATTAAATATTAGCATAAACAGGAATCGTTGTCATAACGTGTTGGCCCGTTTATAATATTGCAACTACAGCACAAATCACAATATTCGAAAGCACGTATAAGGGGCTATTTTAACGCCTCTATAATAATTTTGTTAACAGTTCGAAGAAGTAAAGAGAAATTGACGTGTGGCGAGACAGAATATAAAGGCGATCGTTTGGCCAATCTGTGCCTCTCCGTCAGTTCAGCGTTGATAAGGTTTCAAGGTCAAAATGGCATCCTTCTCTTCTACGCATGATAGCCTTTTCAAGTGTGCGGTTTGCCAATTTTGTGTGAAATTTGACTACAAGGGGCTAAACCCTCCATACATAAAACCTGATATTAAGTAGGATTTGTTCACTGTCATGACTTGCAGACTCCTCGAGGTTGCATACACTATGCGAGATCCATTTGTTGACGGATGCTGTGGCGGCATTGTTATTGGTGCCGACTGCTGTGTTTGTAACACAAGTGTCTGTGTTTCTCAGGTAGGTTAGGTTTGTGTCGCTATTTATGTCTAGGAGTGCTCCTTTTTCTATGGAAAACGCTACTGCAAGGAGTGTGCTCAGAGGAATGTGGACCACTTCCCAGCCGATATGCGAAGGGTTGGTTAGTCCTAACGTGTCACCGTCATAGGAACTTTTGCAAAATTTAAAATCCTAACGAAAGGGCAGCAGGTTATACACTTTGAGTCTACGTTGCCACAGAATGGAATTTACTGGTCCAACGAGTAACACCCGATTGCGAATTTTCGCCTTACATACATTGCAACCTTAAATCTTGTTTACTTGCAGTATATATGTTTGGCGCCTCGTTCCTCACTTTACTTTTTAGACGTAGTTTTCTCGCGCAAAGTAAGAGACGAAAAGGAATGCCCAAAAATGATCTCGCGGTGTTTATTCCGTAGCACTCAAAAAGTCAATTCCCACAAGTTTACCTGAGCCATAAAAAATCCGAATACAGCACATCTTCCTGTTTCTTGTCTTTAAACGAGATCGAATCTACCCGCCTACCCTTACGGCTTCCGCCTCTGTGGTTGCCGGTGTTAGATATTCACGTCAGATTTGGATTCCACTATCGTGAAGTGGCAGGTGGCCGAACCCTGGCTTATTGAATTGAGGAAGTTGGTGCAAGTCCCAGGGTTAGCGCATGTCTTTCGTCAACACGTTACCGGGAGGTAAACAAAGTTGTATTTTCGGACGGACATGTATTAGTTTTCCTGCAAGAAGGACCAAATGCACGGATCTAGGGCGTCGTCGCGTGAATCGTCAGATGGTTTCTCAGACGCCTGATCCAGAAGTTGTGGAGTCTCTGCGTCCTCATCAGCTATTTTCACATTAGTCCTTTGTGGGTTGTTTTTCATATCGGTCTGAATCCCGGTTAAGAATGCATCCAACTCGGGTCCAAGATCGGCGAATGAGACAGAACTAATAGAGCTGCTACCCTGTGATCCTGTCGAAATTGTCTGGGCCGCAAGAGACAAAGTCTCGTTTGCACGTGCCAGGTATTGTTCACTCTGATGGACGGTTTCGCTAGCAATCCTGACCTTAAAATTATATGAACGTGGTAAATCATATATAGAAAAGGCTCAATAAGGAGATATGTGAAGCGTTGCCGCAGCCCGGTTTTATGGCAGCAGTAAGATGCGGCTTTTTATTCTAGCAACCAGTGCGGTGTGTTAGGGGACTTTAGCAAAAAAGTAGTGTCTGTATTTATGTAATCTGTGGGACGAAGCTAATCTCGCGCGGAGGAGTGCGTTTCTCAGAAGAGGTACAATACATATGCTCCTATTAGCAATTGCCGGGAATCTGTTGAAAATAAAGGTTGTTGTGGAAAAACAGGAAATCGATTACACATCACAGCAAAAATCGCGAATGACTTTCTAGTTCCTCTTCGCCATGTTGCTGGGTGCCATGGTTAGTTTCGAAAGTTAAATAAGGACGACCGTCGTGCCTAAGTGCAGCATATTTTGCGGTGATCAACGAGCCGTGCTCAGTATTTGAAATTACACCTGTCTAACAGTTCAAAAGTAGTTAAAAGATTCCAATACCGGATTTGAGATGCACAACATGCAGGGTGCATTAAATCGACTCACCTGATATGTTAGCATTTCACGGACTAGATCGCGGGCTTGGTGCGGTCGGTATTCATTAAGGAGATGATGCATGTTAATGAAAAGTAATCCAATATGATCGAGTTTTTCTTTACGCTTGGGAGAGCTAGGGTCCCGAGTTATGACATCAAGCAGGTCAAGGTAATTGGTCAAAATCGAGAAATTTAGCTTCTTTAACTCGGCTTTGCGACTGTATGTCTAAATTTCAAAAAATAAATACTAACGCAAGCTATGTGGACTTCCAAGAAATCAAGGTGGACACACCGATTCGTTGTAATTTATTCTCACTAACACGGAAGTGTGGTAATAATGCGTAACAGAAGTTACCTACATTCCACAAACAAACCAAATAATGTTGGCCGAAATAAACGTATTTCAATAATCACTATTTGTTGCTATTTTGCAAATCGGACCAAATTCAGGTCAATCGGAGATTTGGAACTAGATGCATTGGAAATGATTAGGCAGTATTGGCTTCCTAAAGTTAAGGTATAAGGGTTTTGTAGGATCTAACAGACAAGCTACCTGAGCTGGGATAAAAGTGAAAGGGAGTTATTGGTTTAGATTGGCGGAGCGAAAAAAATGTGGAATAAGTAAGCTTGTTTAATGTAACCAAGAGAATAAAAAGGGTTAGAACTTATGCATATCTCTGCAAAGTAGCAGCGAAACAACACTAGGAAAATAAAAGTAACAAATACTCTTCGCTTGTAACGGCTTCATTTCAGAAACAAAGCCAACAATTCAAGTAGAAATTGAAAGGCTTCACTAGGTCTTACTTGTGGATAAACCCTTTTGAATCCAAAAGATTCTAAAGGTCTCAGAATGGGATCATCTGTGTTATAACGAATGCCAAACATTTGATATGATGTCGAGGAGGGAATGTGAGGAGGTGGTGGCGCAGTTCCATCTGCAACAGCACTATCAGTGTATTTATTAATGAGTTCCCAAGGTGGGATGGGGAAGAGGCTGACATGTGTTGGTCCTTCAGGAATGCGACTCATTTATGGCTAGATCCTCGATCGAAGATCAACAGAGGCCTTACGAAGACACAGGATTAATTTGTTAAATTCCTGGTCGCACACACCTTGCTTAACTTCAACTTGTTGTACGATACAACGGCCGTAACTTAGTGACTCGCTAGCGCACTTTGAAAGAAGAATAGGATAATTAGCAATGCGGTCACGCGCTGAGACAAGCCGATTGCGCATCTAACCGAAATTCACGAGAGTTTAATCCGTGGTCGAATAAGCCGCTGACCAAGCCGACTAAGGCGAACAACTGACTTTAAAGCTATACTTCGTTTTATAATTTTTTCGGAGAAAACCTTAAAATTATGTGATTAAAAACATTTAATTTTAAGCACATGTAAAAAGCGTCACCTTAAGATTTTACGACGATTGATGCGATGTTTTGATATCTGATCTAGTTTATCGTGGAGGCAATACAAAATTAACCATGGATGTTTTTGAGTCACTTCCGATTTGCTAAGCAATCTGTGGTAATTAAAAAAGAAAGCATATTTAGGTTGAAAATATCATCCTGCTCGCCGTAGTGAAAATTGCACTTCTCAGAATTAAGTTTAATAACAACATGAATGGTAAGGCCGAACATCTACAACTATATACTTTGACGAGTATTGTAGCATTTGCAATAATAATTTTTTCTTGGCTGCTATTTAACCTTAATTTCTAATTAGTGTCTACCTCGAATTCGCACACTACAATGGTATTTAAGGCAATAATTCACATTTGCCACGTTATTTTTCAAACAGCATTTGTTTATACGATAGAAGTTAATATTCGTTTATTTTAAGGTATTATATACGTTTTGCCTTCTAATTTGCAATTTGTACATCACATTTGCATTCAAACTTTAGTCAACCAGTTTAAGTTGACTGTTTTATAAGCATTGACAAATGAAAAATGCAACTCAGGGCATTAATAATAATTTATTAGCAATGAAAAAAGTTTCTAGAAAAAGAAGCTGGTAATGCTTGTGTAAAACTGTGGAATTGCATTGTCTTAAGTTTTGAAAAGAAATAAAAAACTGAGATTCAAAAACCCAGATCTTTTTACAATCTTAAGCCTGCAGTAGCTTAACTTTTAGCACTAACTTTTATTACTCAATTTAACAGCCCATAAAAACCGAGAATGGAGCAAAACGAAACGACTAAGGACACGACCTTTTTAGCGACACGCAGCTAACTTTCTGTCTTGTTGTGTGGGTGAGTATGCGAATGACTAGCGTCCGATAACATTGGCAAATGAAGAATGAATGGGTCATTATCATGGTTAGGTCATAACTAAGGCACGATTGCTGTTGATCCGCCACAAACTTTCCGTTATACACACACACACACACACGAATGCACACACTAAGCAAGCGCTCCAAAAGACAAAAAATTAGTCAGCTGTCGTTATTTTTTTTGTCTGCTAATTTGCAATTGAATGCGAAAGAAACCCAAAATAAAAAAATAGGCTGTCCTGAACAAGTGCACTATTAGGTGAAAAGGGCTGTTTAGGAATATTCAAACAGTTATTTGCAAACAAACTCGCTTCTTCATCGGCGTTTTCTCCATTAACATTCTCATTTACGGTTGTCCAGTTTATTTACAGCAAGTACAATGCTCCATGGATGTATTTAAAGAGATGCACATAAAGCTGTTTTCATCGCATCTGTTATTTAAAAAAATATTTAGTTTTAATTCTCCAAGAGGAAGGCAGAACATCGTGACAGACTTGGACATGAATGGCCTTTTGCATAATATTTAAAAATTTCTATTCATTATGTTTAATGCATTTGATTCGTCTTTCACCAATCTAATGTTGCTGGTATTACCATTCAAATTACTAGAAAAACTCGGAAATTTGTAAGGTTATATATATATATATATATATATATATATATATATATATATAATACTTCTTAA